CCTTTCCTTCGTGCCTAAAAGTATCCACAGCTTCCTATCCATTTCTTCCTCATCACATTTCTTCTCCCATACCGAGGACCTTCACCTTGTCTCTTTACCATATAACGCGAAAGGATTCCTAGTCAGCTCACTCTGTCTTCTCGCAACACAGCATAAAACGCCGCCACCAAAACAGCCGTTTTCACTTTCCAGGATTTTCTTCTTGCTTTCCTCTTTTTTCTCTCTTTCCAGCTGTTGCTTTCTATCCAAAACACAAATTTGCAAGACGTCTTTTGACTCTTCGTGTGTTAGATTGCACAGAACAAAAGGGAGAAAACAGGAACAAACCAACAGATCAGGTCCCAGCCCAGATTTTTTGATTTTCCCAGGATCCATTGAACGGACTCGTTTCTGCTTGAATCTCGGGTGTCTAACCAGATAGCCTGTTTGCAAAGAGAAACACCTTCAACACTTGTTTTCCCCCCTAGGAGCTTTCTTGAAAACAATCACAAAAAGACACCATGTCTGGATTCACCTCTGTCGATGCGAACGACATTCCCACCCCTACTAGGTATTACAGTTTTTCTTTTATTGTTTTGGGAGGCCGTTTTGATTTTTTTGCTCTTTGTCTTTCTTTGCGTGACTTGATTTTCAAGTCCCGTGTCTGCATTGATTTTTTTGTCATACCTGTTCGTTTCGAACATACTTTCACGCTGCAGTTCTCTTGTGCTTTCTCGACAATTTTGAACTCTTGTCGACACGGACTCGCGGACCCTGGAACCTTTACTTGTTTTCGCAACCGCAAAGCCAATGGACCAAATGGACTTGGGCTGGTGCTTTTTGACAGGGGCACCAGCCTGTGTATTGTCTCGCTGAACCCAGAGGACCGGTGACGCAGGCTGCACAAACTGAAATTTACGAACGTTGTTTTCATACTCGTTCTGTCACTGCAGGTTAAGTTCCCCCAATGCTCGCTAAATGACGTCCACTCGAGGACGAAAACTACGTGACTCTCTGGCCTGGATGTGTTTCAACGACCAACCTGGATTTTATTTTGGCCCAACATTTTTGCTTTTTTGCCTTTCCTTCTCTGCTGGACCTGCAACAATGAATATGATTTGGATTCGCCACAAATTACACTGGACTTTGGACCAACGGACTGGACACAAGGAGTCTTTTTCTCTCTTTTGAGCCCTTCGAAACAGCTTTTGGAGACCACCAATCATTCTTTGGAAACACAGGACACAAGATGATCCGGTCATTTGGCTGTGGCTCTTGCTTTTTTGTACAGGACGACATGCACACTGGATAATCGACTTGTTTTCTGTTTTCTGTCTTCTCTCAGAAAACCCTTTGAAAAGCAAAACCAAAACAATTTCAAGGCTCTAGTATCATGGATTTGCTTCGCTTTTGGATCTTGGACCTGCACGGCTTGCTCTCTGGTTCACTTGGCTGTTCGTCTGATGGATCGCTTCACACGATGACTCTGTTTCACGCCGCTCTACAGATGCTCCTTCGTTACGAAGGATTCTGTGGTGACGATGAATGTGCAGTAGCATCGCTATGGTGCGAACAAAAACATCACGTGACATGTCACATGGTGTTTACTTGGGATAGGGGTCTTCGCCTTTGATGTTTCTACTGCTCTGGCCGCTCTTCCCTTGGACATTTCTCAACAACAAACCATGCATGCTTCTTGACACCTCGATACAGGACTTGCTGATGGCGAGAAGCCTGGTGCCGGTTCTTCTTTGATGCCACTAGCACAACGGACGATGTGCGTACTCCGCATCCCAGCATAGACATCGACATCGACCTCAATCCTCAAACATTGGCAACGATCCTCGACACGAAATACACCACAAACGACTTTGGACCTTTGGACTAGGAAATGGATTACATGATGCAGACGCACGGCCAAGGGCCCTGTCGATGGCAGGACACGCCCTCTGGCTAGCGTCTGCTCCCGTATCTCACAAAGACTGGTTGGTTTTCATCCTTTCCCCCCCTCCGGCCCACTCCTGGCTGCAAACGCATAATCTCGTGCCGTTCAATGCAATGACTAACTTGAGCCTTGGTAGAAACAAAGTTGTACAGTCAAGATGGTTCCTGCGTTTCCCTCTCCCCGTGTTATGCGTCTCTGTTTTCTCTGTTCTGTTTGCTTTCCTTTCTTGTTAATACTTTGTCTTTTCCACCCTCTTTTGTTCTCCCTCCGTTTCTTTTGTTTCTCTGTCATCTTGACGCTTGTCATTCTCCACAAAGTGTGCGAGACACCCAAGGACCCACGAGAGTACCTTTCCCCTCTCTCTTTGGACAAACACAAGTGACAAGTCAAACAAAAAACACACAAAATGACCGGACGACAAAAGTGGTTCAACAGCACACTGACTTTTATGCTTTTCATTTCAAAGCGACTGCAGCCATTTCTCTTCTTCCGGGATGCTCTACCTAGGAGCCCAGCCGGGCACAACGGCGAGCATGAGCGGCGGCCAATGGGACGGCGCCGTCGAAGGAACACAGAACTTCGCCGACTTCTCTGATCAGGGAGACCTTGCACAGGATTCGGACGAGTACGCATACCAGCGCCTGGATGAGTACCGCTTGCAGCAACAGCAGATGCAGCAGAGCCGGACACCGCGGCCAGAGACTAAGTGGGCTGCGCTGGGCCCTGCTGGCGCTGCCGCAGCCACCGCCGGCGCTACCTCCGTTCCCATGCACCGGACGGTGTCCAAGAGCTCGGCCAGCAGCTTCAAGTCGCGCACCATCCGCGCGTCGTCGCACAAGAGCCGGCCACGGGTCCAGGCTAGCCTGTCCGCGCCGCTCTACGGTGCTACACCGTCTGCTCCATCGGTCTATAACATTCAGGCGTACTACAACAGCAGCACCGCAGCGGCGGCTGGCGGCGGCATGAGCCCCGACCAGTACCTTGCTCTGTATAGCCAAGGCCTTGGATCCGCAACATACGGCACAGCGGAAGGTGCCATGCCCACCTACAACACGGATCTGGCTGCCAGCCTCGGCAGCAACCTTCATAACCAGCAGCAGCAGCAGCACGTCGACCCTACGTGCACACAGATGAACATGGACGGCTTTGACCTGGAGAGCCTGAACGGCCTGGACAACATGGTCTTTGATCCCAGCCACACGCCCATCTCTCCACAGACATGGGCCTCTTCGAGCTCTCGCCGTTCCTCCCCCGACCGGGGTGAGGACATTTGGTCGCTGCCCATGGCCCCTTCCCCGCCGACAGCCATGACTCGGCCACTTCACTGTCGTATGTAGCTCAGGTGGAGGCGGCCGCCGGCCGCAAGCGCACAACCAGCGGTCTAGGCCGCATCAGCAGCAGCAGCAGCGGCGGCGGCAACAACATGGACCAGAGCAACAATGGCGACGACGCCAGCACAAGCAGCAGCAGCCGCCGCCAGAGCGAGGGCGAGTCCGCTCGGGATCACCCTCTGTACAAGACGGCAGCTTGCCATCCAGATGGTCTGTACCACTGCCCATGGGAAGGCGAGGAGAGCTGCAACCACAAGCCCGAGAAGCTCAAGTGCAACTATGAGTATGTCCACCCATCCTTTTTTTTTTTATTCGTTCCACACCCGCCAGAGACTAATACGCCTCCTTTCCCTTCCCTCGCAAACAGCAAATTTGTCGACTCACACTTGAAACCGTACCGCTGCAAGAACACAGCCTGCGAGAACGCGCGCTTCTCGTCCACGGCCTGCCTCCTGCGCCACGAGCGCGAGGCCCACGCCATGCACGGCCACGGCGACAAGCCCTACCTTTGCCCACACCCCGAGTGCGACCGCGCGCAGCCAGGGTTTGGCTTCCCGCGCCAGTGGAACCTCAAGGACCACATGCGCCGCGTGCATCACGACGACGGCTCGCAGCTGGAGCACATGGCCGCGGCCGCGGGCACCGCTGTCGATGCCGCGCCCATGGCTGTCAGCAGCAGCCAGGCCGTCAGCAAGGGCCGCAAGCGCAAGAAGGACACGGCCGCCACCAGCACATCGGCATCCTCACGCAAGGGTTCGTCGTCCTCTTCCAAGTCGGGCGGCAGCAGCGGCAGCGGCAGCAGCAGCAGCAGCAGCAGCCACCACAGAGATGCGGAGAGCCGCCGCCACATGCAGGAGCTCGCCGCCATGGAGGCCGCGCACAAGCTGGCCGTCGACAAGAGCAAAGCCGAGTGGCACCACCACAAGGACATGCTCTCCAATGTCGTCATGAAGTTCTCGGAGCCGGACGACCCGGAGATGTTGGCGCAGCTGCAGGCCGCGCAGATCCACTTTGATGCCATCAGCCGCATCTCGACCGAAATGATCTCGTCGTCCTCGTCTTCGCAGCAATATTACCAGACATACCCTCAATAATCGGATTGAGCGGACGTGGGAACGCACAACAGTATGGACAGGATGAACAGGAATGGAAAGGAAATGGTTGAGCGGAGGGAAACCCAACAGAACAGCTATTTTGTGTATCTTGTTTAGTGTGTGTATTGTGTTCGTTGTCTTCCCTTGGATTAGAGCGATTTGGATCCAGGTCTCATGTACTTTTTCTACTGTATCAAGGATTATCTTTTGTAATGTTATGACTACCAGTTTGTTTCTTTTGCTATCTGAATCGCCGTAACTATGTTTCTGTCTATGCTGTGTTGTGCAGCAGCTTGCTCTCATGATGTATCTTTGCAAGGACCTGTCCCATGGCGCTGGCTGATGATTCTATATCGCATCAAACGTCACACGTGACCCAAGCCAGCTGCTGAGGCGCTCCTGCCTCACATGCGGGTTTTGCATCTGTTGTAGCACGGTCGTTCTTGCACGGTCGCCTGGTCTCGTAGCTTCCTCTTCTGTTCGTGATGTTTAAATTGGCAGTCGCGACACAGACAACAAAAACCAAGAGCAACGATACATCGACCAGATTATGGAAGCGTCCCGGAATGCCACGGTAAACAAATGCTTTTTCTATGATAAAAAGAGGAGATATAAAGTATATACATGGGCATAAAAATCGTTCTACAAAGTCTAGTGTTTCCGCTTCTCTTCAAGCTCCTTGAGGTGCTTGGCGATAAGTTCCTTCCTAAAGCGGGGATTAGCATGGGGGTCATCACAGAGCAACGAAATGGAAGGTGCGGACAGCGAAAAAAGAAGGTACGTACTGCATGTGGGGCGGCGCAGGCGCGTAGTGCGAGAACTCCATGGAGAACTCGCCCTTGCCCTGCGTGGCGGCGCGAAGGTCGGTGCTGAAGCCAAACATGGCGTTGAGCGAGCAGTCGGCCAGCAGCGTGAAGTCGTCGGGGCCAATCTCCGTGTCGACGACGGTGCCGCGCTTGTTGATCAGCATCAGGATGTTGCCCTGGAACTCGCTGGGCGCGGTGATGGTCGTGCGCATCAGCGGCTCGAGGACCTGGCCGCCGGCGTCCTTGAAGGCGGAGCGGAAGGCAAACTGGGCGGCCAGGCTGAAGGCGTGGTCGGACGAGTCGGTGACGTGCGTGGCGCCGTCGACAATGATCATGGACGTGCCGATGACCTTGTGGCCGACCTGGGGCCCGCGCTGGCAAGCAATGTCGAAGCCCTTGGCGCAGGCCGACAGGAACTTGTCGGGGATCGTGCCGCCGGCGACGCGCTGCTCAAAGTAGTTGGCCTCGGCGTCCGCCTCGTTGGGCTCGATCCAGCCGACGACGCGCGCATAGTCGCCGGGGCCGCCCGACTGGCGCTTGAAGAGGTAGTCGAACTCGGCCTTGCGCGACACGGTCTCGCGGTAGGCGACGCGCGGCTGGCCGACCTCGCAGTCGACGCGGTACTCGCGGCGCAGGCGCTCGACGTAGATTTCGAGGTGCAGCTCGCCCATGCCCGAGATGATGGTCTGCTCCGACTCGTCGTCGACGTGCAGGCGGAACGTCGGGTCCTCGCGCTGGAAGCGGTTCATGGCCTTGGAGAAGGCGTCGGCGTCGCTCGAGCGCTTGGGCTGGATGGACAGCGACATGACGGCGTCCGGCACGAACATGGACGTCATGGTGTAGGGCATCTGGCCGTCCGTAAAGGTGTCGCCGGACGCGCACTCGACGCCGAACACGGCGCAGATCTCGCCGGCGCCGACCTCGGTCACGTCCTCCATCTCGTTGGAGTGCATGCGCACGATGCGCGGGATGCGCACCTTCTTGCCGGAGCGCGAGTTGAAGAGGTGCGCGCCCTTCTTGAGCGAGCCCTGGTACACGCGGATGTACGTCAGCTGGCCGTAGGGGTTCTCCTCGAGCTTGAACGCCAGGCCCACAAACGGCAGCGAGTTGTACGGGATGAGCGACACGGGCTTCTCGTTTTGCGCGCGGTCCAGCGCCAGGTTCTGCACCTCGCCCGGGTTGGGCAAGAAGTCGCACACCGCGTCCAGCATGGGCTGGACGGCCTTGTCGCCGAGCGCCGTGCCCATCAGGACGGGCGTGAACTTGAGGCCGACGGTGGCGCGGCGGATGGCGGCCTTGATCTGCGCGGGCGTCGGGTCCTGCTCCTCGAGGAACAGCTCGGCCATCTCGTCGTCGACGTCGGCCAGCTTCTCAATCAGCTCCTGGCGCTTCTCGCGGGCCAGCTCGACCAGGTCGGCCGGGATCTCGTCGGTGATCTTGAGGTTGACGCCGCGCTGGCCCGCGTTGCGGATGGCGCGCATGTTGATCAGGTCGACGACGCCCTCAAACTCCTTTTCCGTGCCGATGGGGACCTGGATGGCGGCGGCGGCGATCTTGAGCTTCTTGTTGATGCCCTCGACGGCCTTCCACGGGTTCGCGCCCATGCGGTCCATCTTGTTGACGAAGCTCAGCCGCGGCACGTTGTAGCGCTTCATCTGGCGGTCCACCGTGATCGTCTGGCTCTGCACGCCGCTGACGGCGCACAGGATCATGACGGCGCCGTCCAGCACGCGCAGCGCGCGCTCGACCTCAATGGTAAAGTCAATGTGGCCCGGCGTGTCGATCAGGTTGATGTGGTACGTCTCGTCCTCGCCCGACGCCTCGTTCTTCTTGACCCAGTCGCAAAAGGTCGCGGCCGACTGGATGGTGATGCCGCGCTCGCGCTCCAGCTCCATCGAGTCCATCTTGGCGCCGACCGAGTCGCGGCCGCGCACCTCGTGGATCGCCTTGATGCGGCCCGTGTAGAACAGCACGCGCTCCGTCACCGTCGTCTTGCCGCTGTCAATGTGCGCCGCAATGCCAATGTTGCGCACCCTCGATAACCGCTTGGCCTCTTCGGGGCTCATGTTGGCGGCCACGGACTCGGCCGTCATGTTGGCGGCGGCATCCTGGGCAGCCTTGATTCTGGAGGGAAATCATGTCAGCAAAACGAAAAAGGACAAAACAGGGGCCAAAAAAACAAGACGTACGCGGCCTGTGCCGCACTGAGGGCCCGCAGATTCGACGAGTTGCTGAACCATTGCCGCTGCTTGGACGGTCTGTCCAGTGGGACTGTGGTAGGCCGCCTGTGGCCAGCCGTCCGCGTCGTTGAGGCCGTCGTGGTGCGGCTGCACGACGTCGTGGCAAAGGACCGTGCCGAGGAGGGCGTCGAGATAAAAGACGACGAGGCGCCGGCAGTCGTCGCTGCGGCGCCGCCAGAGGCCCGCAGCAGGGAAACGGCCTTGCGCGTCTTGTGCATTTCGGCGGGGGTGGGGGGGAAGGGGAGGGAGGGGAGGTGGTTGTCGTGGTATCGTCGTAGGATTATAGAAAGGAAGACGTCCACCGGGCTGCGAAGAAAAGAAAACTAAAAAGAGAGTGAAGACGGGGCTGCCAGCATTGCCGTCGTCAATGGGTGTGGAGAACGAGTAGGCGACGGCACGGCTGAGGCAGAGAGCAGTCGATGTCGGTTTCTCTCGTTTCTTTTCTTTTTTTCTTTTTTTTCTGTATTGTCGGTCGACTTTTTTTCTGCCGCAAAAAATACACGAACCAGCCCAATGGCGGTCTAGCACCAGGTACCGTCGTACCAAGATTTTAGTGCGAGTGTACATTGAAGGGACTTTTATACGCGCCAGCCAATCATTGGCTCCCAATTGGATCGAGCGTTTTGAATACGTTCGCTCTGCAGTTGTTTTACGACGTGCACCGTTCAGCTTCTACGACTCTCAAAGTCAACTTTGGATTTTGTTTCGATAATTGTATTAGCCCTCTTCTATTGCTGTCTCTATCTGTACTCCAATCCTAATGGAACAGCAGTTAAATCCCAAAACAAAGCCTAAAAAATAAAAGAAAAGAAACAAAAATTGGCAAATGGAAAACCATAATTGAACCATAATTGGATGCGTAACGTAAATCGACGAATATTTGAGGACCGGGTTGGATAGATTTCGTTGTGGGCATTGCTTCAGATCTGCGCCGCTCTGGCCAAGCCATCTCCGGGGGTATCACACGTCCTATCGTAAAACAGGAGCTGGGCACGCAAGCAGACGCAGACGTTCCGCACCACAATGTCACCGCCCTTTATTACAAGATAAACAGACCGCCGGCGATGAACATTGTGGCGGTGATGGCACCGATGTGGAGAAGGCCGATGGGCACGACGTTGACACCGGCCGCGTTCTTGGAGCTGCCGCCACCGCCGGAGGAGGAGGAGCCGCTCGATGCTGTCGCAGACGAGGCAAAACCCGACTGGGCAGCATATGCAGGTTCCGTGAACGAGGACGGCTGCGAAATCTGCGCCTGGCTGGGTGCAGCGGTGGCCGACGGGATTGGGGCGCCGGAGCTCGCAAAGGCGACAATGTTGGAGGATGTGGCGTTGAAGTTGGTCTGACCGAGGGCGATCTGGTTGTTGACGAGGTCGTACACGACGTAGGCGGAGCGCAAGAAGGTGTCGCCGAGGAGGTAGGGCTCGGAGGAGTTCTGGATGCCGAACTCGCAGGCGGACTGGCCCTTGAAGCGGCCGCTCGAGAACGAGGGGCCGCCGGGGCCGCTGCTTGTGGCGATGTCGAGGACGAGCTCGTCCATGCCGACGTCAATGGTGGCGCCGTTGGTGCCGCCAAAGCCAAACGTGAAATGGCCGCCACTGGAGGCCATGCTGCAGGGAATCACGGCCAGCTGGACCTGGGCGTCGTATTCGGCGCCCACCTCCTTCCAAATCTCCTCGGCCATGTCCTGCGGCACGTAGGACAGCGTCGTGCCCGAGTCCAAGACGACGGGGACGGGGAACGCGGTCGACGTCAGCGCATCGTCGCCACTGGTGCTGACGGCATTGACCGACGTGAGAGCCACAATGAACGACGTGAAGGTGTTGGTATTCGGGTCCTTGTAGATGTTGACCTTGGTCAGGTCGCCCTTGTACTTGTCGGTATCAATGCCGCCGAAGAGGAGGTTGCCCGTGCTGGCCTCTGTAAGGGGAGTTAGCCAAAGGTCCAAGAATGCGCGTGCAAGAGTCCCATTACAGGGAACGTAGACCGTCTGCTCGCAGTGTACGCACCGAGATCGTTGAGCCACAAGCTGTAGGCATTGGTCTTGATGACGCCTTCCTGTACCATGACCAGCGGCAGGTTGTTGTACGCTGACGACAGGGACTGCGTTGTGGACACAATGGCCTCGTCGGTCTTGTAGCCAATGCCGACCAGGCCGAAGTTGATGTCGGTGCTCTGGCCCAGGCCCATGGTCATGTTTGTGACGGTGCTGCCGCCAATGGTGAAGACGTCTGTGAAGTAGCTGCCGTCCGAGTGGCTGCCGTCGACATAGGAAATGCTGAACTCGTCCTTGCCTACGACCACAAACGTCGAGGAGTCGGCCGAGTTGACTGGGCTTGTTAGCAGAGCAACAAAGGTGACGGACATCTCAGGGGGAATGCTGACGAGCACACGCTGAGGGGAACGTACAAGAGCCAAGGCTGCATCCTTCGCTTGATTCGCAGACAGACGCACTGCTTGACGGCACCCAGATGTCGCTGCTGCCCGTGTCCAGCTGCAGGGTCAGCGTTTGCTGCGGCGTGCCAATCTTGCAAGTCGCAAAGTAGCCGCCCTGCGACAGGTTGTTGTCAATCGTCGACGAGTCGGTGTTGGCCGTGGCCCGGCGCGTGAGCTTGGGGTGTGCCGACCGTCTGCCGACGTCGAACTGCACAACACCTTCGGGGAGAGCGGCGCTGGCGGCCGAAGCCAGCATGGCGCCGGCGGCGACGTTTGTGGTCTTCATGATCTGAGAAAGAAGCGGAGGAGAGACGTGAGGCGAGACAAAAGGACGAGACGGCCGAGGCCAATAATACTCGCTGGATCGGAGGGCTCGGAAGACGCTTCAAAGCAGACTGACGAGAAAGGAGAAGACGAAGACGAAGACGACGACGAAGACGAAGATGAAGATGAAGAGAAACAGGAAACGAGAAAATACAGAAAACAAAGACAACGAAAATAAAGACGAGGTGAGGAGAAACAGCGGAAGGGTAGCCCAGACTCCTCGATGAGAACAAAGAACGTCAATAAGTGCGACAAACCCGAAAGAGGAAAGGAACGAGGTGAGACAACAAGGAAAACGAAATGAAAGAAAACACTGTCCTGGACCGTGGGCGAAGCTTTGCTTAGCGGAAGTATGTTGGTTGTCTGCAAGTCCTTTGACCATGAGAAAATGCCAAGCCTATGGCTTGTAAAGCGAGATTCCCGAGCAGGAACCCCAGTCTGGGCTGTGTTCCAGTGGGGCTAGGGACTACGGGTGGCAACTTCCCTGCAGCACAGCTGAAGTTCGGGCGCAATAGTGCCCCATTGGGTAACTTTGCCTGGGCTGCAGACATCAAAGAACCTCCGCGGGAAGGCGCGAGCGATGGACATAAACAACAGGAATCGTATGGAGAGACAAACGGGGCGCAACCGGCGAGACGACTCGAAAGGGGAGGCCTAGTACGAAACGGCAGCTTGCGTACTCCTTCCTTTAGCGAGCTGGCGGCTAGGAAAGAGCGAATGGCGCCTGTGTCCTCTGCTGATTCCTGCTTATTTCTGCTTATTCTCTCGCTCTCTCGTTTCTCGCCTTTGGAGAGGCGCAGTTCCGCGGCCGCCCAGCTCGCCGACCAAGGCATTTTGGCCCTTTGTTTTTCTATTTTGTCGAAGCGCACATGATTTCCTCCGAAAACGAAAGGCCGTGGTTCGCGATGTAGAGACGATTTGGCTGTGACACGGGCGTCAAACCAGCGCGCTAAGAAAGCTTGAGAGCAGTGCCCCGTACAGTGCGCATATAGAAACGTAGCGGGCTTTGGCTGTATTATGCACAGTGCCTTCACTGTGGATACGTATGCTTCGGATCAGACTGCCTAGGTCAGGAGCAGCATGCGGAAGGCACGCCAGTTCGGTGTCCGAACCACAAACTGCCTGTGATCACGCTATTTCTCCACTGTACACTGAGAGTTGGCGGCCAGAGCGCTGCTTTGGCTTTGGCGGGTTGACGTTGGCCTCGTTGTCTACTTGTCTTCCATCCGGTTCCGTCCTTGGTAGCAGGAAAGAAATCGGCAGATGCGATGGCAAATGGAACATGTGAGAAATGAAGAACGAAACTGGAAAGAGGAGCAAGTTGTTCTCACTCGCTGGCAGACAGAGACAAACACCTGCAACGCAATTCTGCCACTGGCCAGATCTGAAACCATGCGCCCACGACCTGTGTTTCATATCCTACTGCGCGTGGCCCCGCGCCTGTCCTGTTGGCCTCTCTGGTGGCCACCCTGAGACCAGTGGCAGAATGTGCGGCACCCTTGATCTGAAGGGCATCTGATCGTCGCCCTAGCAAAGCCTACGAGGACGCAGACGCCCGGCTTGATTCTGGGCCGCGTGGCTGTGAAAAGAGGTTGGGGCAAGACAATCCCAACTGGTGGACGTCCGGCGTGCCTTTACAAGAACAGGGTGTGTTGTACGTCGTATGTCATATGTGAATAGAATGTCGTTCTAGCCGAGATGGGTGCGAGCCCTACGAAGACCATTTTGAACTGCGCTGGCTACTCGGCCACGGCAAAAGGGAAACGTCCGTGGATCTTTTGTTGGGCGGTATGCCTTGCCTGTGTTTCCAAATACCGAACATGTGAATGAATGCGACATATATGATCCCGTGCCTGGGCCTGGAGTCGAGGTCAATACTTGGTATTTCGACATGCGCCGTACACGGTGCGATCGAAAAAGCTTAACATCCAAAAAAGTACCACTCTATTCTTGGAACGGAAGCGAGCGCCCAGGCTTAGCTGCAGAATCGTTTCCACATGCCAGCGACGACGGATCCCTTGCCAGGACCAGCATGCATCTTTTGAGCTTGGTCTCAGTGAGAGCCTTCCGAGACACAGTCAATTGGTGTCGACACGATGACGTCGCCAGCCCTACGAAATAAATGAAAGACCAGTATTAAATTGCGACAGTGCGGCAGCTTCCGCTGCCATATTGCGTGTCTGTTCAGACCGCTGGGCTCTGCTGGCTCCTCCGGTTCTCAATAATAGCCGGCGATGCTAAATCGCAAAGCCACAGCGGCTGGTGTTGTCGTAGAGTCTCTGAACTGTCGAGTCATGTCTTTTGTGGCTATCCAAACCAATGCAAATTATATATATATCTATATATATCAACCTTTGTACCCTGGCCTGCTGTCACAAAACGATTGCATTCGGTTGCTATCCCAACCTTGGCCCAGACTACGCCAGGTTGTTCTCCAGATACCGGTCCAGCTTTGACAGCGCCTCGACCAGCACGGCCGTCTCGCCCACGTAGCCAATGCGCACATAGCCCTTGAAGTCTTTGCCATGGCCAAAACAAAGCGATCCCGGCACCATCAGGACTTGCGTTGCGTGCAGCACGTCGAGGCAGAACTGCTTGTCGTCGACCGGTGTCGCAGCTGCGCTGCTGTCGTCGCCGCTGGCCACCGTGGAAAACTGCACAAACGCAGTCGTGCCTGCTGTCGGCGGCACCCACGCAACCCGCACGCGGCCCTTGCTCTCCCACTTCCCCACAAACCGGTTCAAGTGACGAATGTTTCGCCGCGCCAGGTCATTGTTGCGGCGCAGAAGCGAGTCGCGCACCGAGTCCGAGAGCGCGTAGCGTGCGATGCCGTCGTCCAGCTGCGAGACGCTGATGGTGGTGTAGTCACGCGCGGCCAGAATGGCGTCGACAAGCGCCCTGTCGCGGGACGCCACCCAGCCCAGCCGGAGGCCTGCCAGCGCAAAGGCCTTGGACATGGAGCCCGTCGCGATCGCCTTGTCGTAGCCGAGCGTCAGGATGCTCGGGGGCGGCGGCGGCGGAACACGGGGCTCGGATGCCTCGTCCAGCGTCAAGGCCGCCGCATAGTGGCTCTCGTCCGGGTCTGGCGCCAACATACCACCATGGGTCAGGGGAAGATACACCTCGTCAGACAGGATGATGATGTCACGCGCCCTCGCGAAGCGGACAATCGCTTCCAGCACGGCGCGTGGAATGGGCACCCCCATCGGATTGTTCGGGTTGTTGACAATGATCATCTGGAGCCACTGTCAGTACATTGTACAGGAACGCGAACAAGCGCCTCGAAACCTCCCTGGCCATCAAAAACACATATGCCCCCACCTTTGTATTTGGCCGGACCAAATTCTCCAGCTCGGCCGTGTCCGGCACATAGCCCTTCTCCAGCGTCAGCTTCCAGAGCGACACCTCGGCACCCAGGCTCTGCGGAACACCGTACAGCTGCTGGTATGTCGGGTATACACAAATGGCATGGTCGCCGGGGCCGAGCAGCGTGTAGAATACGAGGTGGTTGGCGGCAATGGCACCCTGCGTGACGACAACACTGTCGGCCGGCAGCGGCGGTACGTTGGCGTCCTTGCCCTCGTCGAACAGCTCTGCCACGTGCTTCCGCAGCGTCGAGGACCCCTGGATGGCGCCGTAGGTCAGCCGTGTTGTGGCCAGCGCTGACAACGGATCGGCGGCCGGAACGCTCGTCGTGCCGTCCACGCCCGTGGGCACGGCTAGGCCGGCCAAGTCAGCAATCGACAGAGAGGCCGCGCAGGTCTCGGCTATGTTGAGCACACCGGCCGTCGTCTCGTAGGTGTCCATCCATTGTTCCACCTGGAACGGCTCGATCTTGACCATGTTGGGCAGCTCTTGGAGACGTGCCTGGTAAATGCGCAGGTGCGGTAGCGAAATAATGTAGGTGCAGGCGATGACGGGGCCAACAAAAGGATCGTTGATGGAGAACGAGATCCTTATAAAGCCGTGAAACGGGTACAGAAAGCTGGAAGTTGAAGTGTGGCATAGACGTACGCCCTGTTGATGGCATCCGACACGCCCTGAAAGGAACTAGGCTGGTAGAAGCTTGCAGATTTATGTGGAAGGCACGACCGTGGATAAACTGTGGGGAAACACCTCGAGCAGAAAGCCCGAAAAGCTTCACACAACAATCTCTGCAGCATCTATTGACCAAAGTAGGTCGTGCCAGAGTCAACCGGGTCAGATTTCAAATTCAGGCGCATTTACAGCTCAAGAGCTTCTTGGGACGATGCTGAGCACGTTTGCAGCATACGATGAGACGGCTCCGAAATGTGGGGATTGGTGCTGAGCACATCTACGAGGCAGGTGCAGTGTGGCTTCCAAAATCATGTGGGGTTTATCGTCATCATAATCCTCAGTGTACTTGGCTTACCATATTCATTTGGTGCAGAAACATGTACCTTTCTTTGCATGTGGCGTCTCAACAAGGAAGGCGGGAGCTTGGCGCCGTCTCCGTGCCTAGCCAACACGGTTGCGCCTGCCGCCTCTGTATTCCAGAGCATATGTAGGTGCTCAGTAGTGTACCTTCTTGGCACGTTGCCGATTGCGACTGCCTTAGCCATGGCGCCCAGCTCGGCCACTCCTTCCTTCGGTTTGATCCAAAGCTTCTACCTTCTCCATCTCCAGCGTCTCTCCGTCGATATTCTCTCCATTTTTGCCCACCATCGTTCTCAGCCTCTATTTTGCATCTTTCTCCCGTCGTTCCCCGGCCTTGTCGACGTTGTCAACAGCCTGCGACTGCAACCGGGTCTCGGCTTGGAAGCTGTGGATCCCGCCCACTTGGGGTGCGTTCAGGTGCCATCTGTCACGCTGTCACCTCGTTTCCCAGCCTTTGGTCTCGCTGCTCCTCCTCTCGGATCCGCCTTCTATCCGACCTCCGTCCACTGCCGCTTTGCCTCTCCTCCGGATACATCGCCGTGTGCATTCGGCTACCCTCCGACCGACGACAGGGCCCGCGTCGAAGCTCGCATCTGCTGCTGCCTAACTAGCGCGTACCGCGACGTACGAATCCCCCTGAACCAAACAGCCTCGGCCGACGACGTATCGTCTCTCTGCGAAACGTAAGCCCTCGACATCATCCTCTCTCGCACCCCAGGCCTCTTGACGGCCGTTTCTGTCAAGCTCGCTCTCCAACTGCCATGGCGCTACTCCGCTTTCGCACACTCGCCATTGGCGCGGCCGCGTTGATGGCCAGCAACGTCGCGTCGGCGTACAATACCTCCTTCACCAGCATCGATGCCATGCGGGCTGAGATGGCTCTTCTGACCCGCGATTCTGATTGCCCACCCTGGTGAGCTCCAACAAAGCCGTCCCAAATTGATCTCGGTGTCTCGAGTATGGACCCTCCGTCGCTGACCATCCTTTGACGAATAGCTTCAACTGCTTGTTGCCCTCATTTAACTGCGGCCAGTTCGCCGAGTGCAACGGCAACGACGGAACCTGCAAGTGCCCTCCCGGTTGGGCTGGAATCGACTGCTTAGATCCACGTACGTACCCCGGACTCCCCCTGTCCTCCTTTCTGGAAACCGCTTTACAGACGTTCGGTGTCTAATATGCCGTCTTCATCAGTTTGTGGCTCGTTGGCTGGCGGCCACGACCGGCCACTACGCGGAGATGCACCCGCTTGTCAGTGTGAAGAGGGCTGGACCGGTATCAACTGCAATGTCTGCACAGATGACCTCGCGTGCAATGCGTTGATGGAGACCGGCGACGGCGGCGTCTGCTACCAAATGGGAGACGTGGTCAAGAACAACTTCCAGATGTGCGATGTCACCAATAAGCAGATTCTGTCCATATTGAACGGCAAGATCCCCCAGGTCACTTTCACCTGCGACCGCAACAGCTCCGAGTGCGACTTTCAATGTATGTTATTGCCCTTTTGCTCCTTGCGGCAATGTGCTCCTCCTTCGATTTTGGGTACTTTGGGTACTAACACACCCCAGTCTGGGTCGACCAGCGCGAATCGTTCTTCTGCCACCTTCGCGAATGCGAGTCGGACGCCCAATTTGACGAAGCCGCCAACCACACCGAATACCACTGCAAGAACATCGATTGCAGCTGCGTGTCGGATCGGATGCTCTGCGGTGAGGACGGGTCCATCGACTTGTCCGATTTCCTCAAGGACTCCATAAAGGGGCCGGCCTCCTTCGAGTGCAACCAGGCCGAAGGTGGTGCCAACAACTGTCTGTTCGACGAGCCCAATATGAACGAGTTGATCAGCTCCGTCTTTGGCGACCCGAGCATTTATCTGACCTGCCGCGCTGGCGAGTGCCTCTACAGCACCGAGGTGCCTGGCTACAAGAGACCCGTCTCTCGCATCAACACGCCTCTGATCGCCGCCGTCATTGCAGGTGCTTCGCTTTTCCTTGTCGGTGCTATTCTCTTGACATGGTACCTGTCCCGCCGCTCGTTCAACTACGGCCCCATCCAGTTTGATGACTCGGACGATGAGTCTGTGAAGCTCATGGCCGACCACCGGCCGGCCTCTCTTCACTTCGAAAACGTGTCGTACTCGCTCAACGGAAAGAAGATTCTCAACAACATTCAAGGCCTGGCCCGCCCGGGCGAGGTTATGGCGATCATGGGTGCTTCTGGTGCCGGAAAGACGACGTTCCTCGATATCCTTGCTCGCAAGAACAAACGCGGCGACGTGTCCGGCGACTTCTTTGTCAACGGCGAGAAAGTCAGCAACCAGGACTTCAAGAATGTGGTCGGCTTTGTCGACCAGGAAGACACCATGCTGCCGACTCTGACCGTCCACGAAACCATCCTGAACAGCGCTCTCCTCCGTCTCCCTCGCGACATGAGCCGCTCCGCCAAGGAGCAGCGCGTGTACGACGTCGAAAAGCAGCTCGGCATCCACCACATCCGCGACTCGCTTATTGGTTCCGAAGAGGGCCACGGACGCGGTATTTCGGGTGGTGAGAAACGCCGCGTTGGCATCGCCTGTGAGCTGGTAACGAGCCCCTCCATTCTCTTCCTCGACGAGCCCACAAGCGGACTGGATGCCTACAACGCCTACAACGTAATTGAGTGCCTCGTCACTCTAGCCAAGACGTACAACCGAACCGTCATCTTCACTATCCACCAGCCTCGCTCCAACATTACCGCTCTTTTCGACCGTCTCGTTCTCCTCGCCCAAGGCCACACCGTCTACTCCGGACCCTTTGCTCAGTGCCAGGACTACTTTGACCAGATTGGCTATTCGTGCCCTCCCGGCTTCAACATTGCCGACTACCTCGTTGACCTGACCATGCATGCCGGCTCGGCGCCATCGTACGAGGATGAGCCTTCCGCCGGTCTAGCAACTGGCTCCGACGCTGCCAGCGACCGCCCCAGTAGCACTCGTGCCGTGAAGTCGATTGCGAGCGTTTCTGCCGCCAGCACGATGGCCGACGAGGCCAGCGGCGGGAACGCGGCCGAGGCATCTTCGTCGACGCTGCGGTTCAAGGGCAAGCGTCGTAACTCTGTGCGTGCCCGCCAGGAGCGTGAGCTGTTTACGAGACGCAAGAATACGATAGAGACGTCTGCCTCGTCGGATGCCGGGGACGCAGAGATTGGCGCATACAGGCTACATCGGCAGTCGCCTGGATCCGTCGCCCCCCAGATTTTGGACGACATTGACAATGCGCCTCCATCGGCCACAAGCGGCACAGATCTGGATGTCTTGATCACCGCATTTGCCCAGTCCCGAGTTGCCCAGAGCACACACGACGAGATCAACCAAGCCGTCGCCGACGCGCACAACGCCAACGGCAACAATTCGAGCAGCCCGGTGGACGAGGATGGCGATGTTGATGCCGCCGCCAACGTAGGCGCCAACGGATACAGCCCCGTGGGTCCCAACATTCACCTCAGTGTCATTGGAAAGGGTTACGCGCGTGTTGGTTACTACAGCCAGTTTATCATTCTGTCGCAGCGGACGTGGAAGAACCTATACCGCAACCCGCTGCTGATGCTCACTCACTACGCCATCTCGATCTTGCTCGGTGTCCTGTCTGGTTTCCTCTTCTACGGTCTTACTAGTGATATTCCCGGCTTCCAGAACCGCCTGGGTCTGTTCTTCTTCGTGCTCGCCTTGTTCGGCTTCAGCACACTGACGAGCTTGAACGTCTTTGCGAGCGAGCGGCTGCTCTTTACGCGCGAACGCGCCAACGGCTACTACTCGCCCGTGACGTACTTTGCCGCCAAGGTTCTGTTCGACATCCTTCCACTGCGCATTCTCCCGCCCGTGCTGATGGGTGCCATCATCTACCCCATGACGGGCCTGGTTCCTGATTTTGAGCATTTCATTGTGTTCATCCTCGTCCTCATTCTCTTCAACCTGGCTGCGTCCGGCATCTGCTTGTTTATCGGCATCGTGTGCAAGGACGGCAGTGTGGCGAACCTCATTGGCAGCCTGGTGATGCTGTTTAGTCTGTTGTTTGCGGGTCTCCTGCTAAACCACGACAAGATCCCGGCCGCGGCTGTGTGGCTGCAGTACCTCTCCATCTTCCACTACGCCTTTGAGGCCCTGATTGTGAATGAGGTGCGATACCTTACGCTTGTCGACCACAAGTACGGCCTGGACATTTCCGTCCCCGGCTCGGCCATCCTGAGCTCGTTCGGCTTCAACAACATTGCCCTATGGAAGGATGTGACGAGCCTGGGTGTGTTTGCCGTCGTCTTTATCGTCCTGGCGTACGGTGCGATGCACGTTCTCCTTGTCGAGAAGCGCTGATTTGAACGTGCGACACCTCCCATGTTTTGCATTTCCTTTGTCCATGGCACCGCAATCGGCCCATCTATGACATGGCGACCTTGCAACACAAATGTCGACCGCCTTGCCCTTTTTTTTGTTGCATATTGGCTTTCCTTGCTCGGCGTTTTACGGATTTTGCTTTTGCCAGTCGCCTTTTCTTTACTTTCCCTCCTGTTTTGTCACTTACCACTTAACACCACTTCATTTTCCCCGGCGACTGCTTTGCACAGGCACGCACGAGGCGCTATGTGATGTGAAGCTGCACTAGAGAAAGCATCGTCTGAATGATTCATGGTGGTAGAAGTACACGCAGATAATGATTGGATAAGTCTCTTTATGGCTTTCGTTTTTTTTCTACAAAGTACATAAATTTATAGCTAGTATTGTACAAGATTTTAAAGGAATGCAAGTTTTCAAGAAAAAATCGTGGGCTGTATCCCATCGAATTTCTGTCGGTACATGATATGGCTTCTCCTCTATTTTTCAAGTTTTCGAGGTTGAGCCTCTCTATACGGGCATCTTGCCGCCCGTCAACGCCTCGGCTACCAGCTTCTGCCGCTTCGTCGTACGGTCCAGCTCGGTGCGCTTCGAGTCAAACAGCTTCGTCTCCGTCCGCGTGATGCCCTGCATCAGGTCACGCACCGACGCCGGCCTGCCCACAACATCCCAAATGTTCTCCGCGTTGACCGAGCCGTAGCTGTAGCCCTCCTCCTTGAAGTAGTCGGGGCGGAACAGCTCGCTGACGCGGCGCTCCAGGTCCTGCTCGTCCACAATAAACTTGCCCGCCGCGTGGTACAGCTCCATCAGCGCATCGCGCCGCGCCTCCTTCTTCGCCTGCGCAATGGCCGCCGTGCGTGCCGCCGAGGCAGCCTGCTTCTCGTGCCGCAGCGGGTCGCGGATGACCGCTGTGGTCTTGGCCGTCACGTCCCGCACCGACGAGCGCGTGAGCACGTCGTCGCGGCCCTCGGGCGTGGCGAGGGCCGCCCGCCGGTTTCGGTTGGCAAGGTTTGTGGAGCGGGCCCGGTCGCGCCGCTTCGTTTCCTGCTGGCGCGTCCACAGGCCCCGCAGACCGGCCAAGAGACCCTGTCGCCGGTTCGCGGCCAGGCGCCGGCGCATAATCTCGCGCTCGGACCAGGCCTCCTCGCCCCGCTGCTCCGCTTTGGACAGCGGCGCCGCGCTTTCTGTGAAGGCGGTCGCATCTGACTTCTTGGCCCACTTGTGGAGGATGTCCTTTGTGCGTCCTGGCACATATTGTGCGCGGAAGACGTCGCGTGGCACGGGCATGTGACCCTTGACATCGGGTCGCGGGTGTTCTTCGGATTGGCGGGGTCTCGGGTACTTGACGTAGCGGGGCGACTCTGGCGGCACGTCCGTTGCCAGCGACGGCGGCTTGTCATTCTGGCTAGACGGCTGCTGTAACGGACTGGTCGAGTACGGGCGAAGGACGAGGGACGAAGGTGAGGCGGCCGAGCGGCACAACAGGCCCGGCCGCACCGGTAACCGCGGTGGCATGCTGTGTTTTGTGTGTCGTATTATTCGTGTGCAGTAGGAAAGAGATGCCGTGGCGCGAGTTTCGCGCAGGACGGCCCAATTCGTGATTGTTGGGCGGCGTCAACAGCTGGGGTCGAAGCAATTGGAGCAGCTGGCGGCTTAGAAAATTGTTCGACCTGCGATGTCCAATGGAGAAAGGTACGTACCGCATAAGCGGACCAATAGATTTTCCGGCTGGCTGGGCGTTGAGCTGTTTGGAGACAGCGGCCGATTACAGTGGGGTCCTCTTCCCAGCCACTACTGTCGTTGCAGTTTCCACTGCTCCACTTTAATGTTGTTATCAGCGATACGGAGAAAAAAAAGTTCGAATCCCCCAATAAACGAATGTTTGGTTCCATTTCTTCTTCCTTGAATAATTCACCTACAAGCCTTTCTTCACTCTCCCTTTTCCGGCCTTTTCCCGCCTTTTCCCGCCCAACACAACAAATCTGTTTAGACAGCCACATTTCAGCACAGCAGGCTGTCAAACAGGCCAAGATGGGTACCGGAAAGAAAGAAGCGTCTCGCCGCAGCCGCGAGGGAAAGCAGAAGGATGGCAACATCAAGGTCAAGGGCGAGAACTTTTACCGCTCAGCCAGTAAGTTGTGACCCAGGGATGCGACGCAGACGGCTGCCGGTGTCAGTGTCGGTGCAGGTTCCGACTCCGTGCCAGACCGTGTGATGCTAACACCGTCTCAGAAAAGGTGAAGCAGCTGAACATGTACAAGGAGGGCAAGGCGCAGCGCGATTCCGAAGGCAACATCACCAAGGCCGCCTCGTACCAGAGCCGCGACATCCCCACCGCTGTCATCGAGCCCAACCGCAGATGGTTCCAGAACTCGCGTGTCATCAGCCAGGAATCCCTGACGGCCTTCCGCAGCGCCATGGCCGAGCAGGCCAAGGACCCCAACCGCTTCCTCCTCAAGAGCGCCAAGCTGCCCATGTCCCTGATCCGCGACGAGACGTCCGCCACGAAGCAGAAACCCGTCCTCGCCGACTCCTTTGCCGACGTCTTTGGCGACAAGGCCACCCGCAAGCGTGTGACGATGAAAGATTTCAGCACGCTCGATGACCTGGCAGACACGGCGCGGCTGAGCATGCGGTCCTTCAATGACCGCCGCTCGGCCCTCGTCCAGAACGGCCTGCTGAGCGCCGCCGCTGCTGCGAGTGAGGGCGTGGAGTCGGCCGTCGTGGACAAGGCCCTGGAAGAGCTGGACTATGTGCCGCCGGAGGTGGGCCACGAGGAGGCCGATGCCTCGTCGAGTTTACGGATGGAGCCTGTGTTCAGCAAGGGCCAGAGCCGGCGTATCTGGAACGAGCTGTACCGGACAATCGACTCGTCCGATGTCATTATCCACGTCTTGGACGCCCGGGACCCCATCGGCACTACATGCCGGACCATTCAAGACTACATCAAGAATGATGCGCCGCATGTGAGTATCTCACGCTGAACTGTCGATTTTGCGGCGTTGTGGTTTATGTTTGTTACTAACCTTCACTCCTTTGCTAGAAACATCTCATCTACATCCTGAACAAGTGTGACTTGGTTCCTTCCGGTGTTGCTGTAAGTCTGCTCAGTCGGGTTCTTTTCTTTGTTTCGGTCAATTTTGTTTCCCTTCTTGTCTTCGTTTTTGTCATTATTCTTATTCCATGCCACACGTACCCTTCCTATTGCCCCCTTCTTGGACCATGCACTCTGGTCCCCAATGTTCAAGTCAGGAAGCCTTCCCCTGCCAAACTTTTTGTTTGCGTCCATGTTAGGTTTGCGTTACAACGTTGGGAGATTGAAAATTTGGATTTCACGGCCCTTGATCTTTTCATGGTCATTGTGCTGCATAATAGCTTCCGTCTTGGAAGTCTATCCGAAACCCAGAGTTTGCATCGCGATGAGTTGAAACCCGCAGGCTGGAAAGTTTCTTTTCCTCGGCCGTCCAAAAAGCGGACTTTCTTAGTAGTGATACAGACATTTCTACACTTTTTGCGTGTCTTTTGTTCTATTTCTTCCTCTTATTTCTTACATTTTTTGTCCTCTTCTCCTATTGTTCATTTTGCCGTCTTGTTCAACATCATCCCAACACAGGTTGCTCTACGTTTGTTGATCAAGAGAAGCCAACTAACAATGCAACAGGCACGCTGGGTCAAGACACTCCAAAAGACCGTTCCTACCTGCGCGTTCCGCGCATCCATCACAAATCCTTTCGGCAAGGGCTCTCTGATCTCCCTGCTGCGCCAATTTTCGTCTCTACACGCAGACCGGAAACAGATCAGCGTCGGTCTTGTCGGCTACCCCAACGTCGGCAAGAGCTCAGTCCTCAACGCTCTCCTGGGCAAAAAGGCCTGCACGGTCGCCCCGGTCCCGGGTGAGACCAAGGTCTGGCAGTTTGTCCGTCTGATGAAGAGAATCTACCTGATCGACTGCCCGGGCATCGTGCCGCCCGACTCGAACGCATCACCCGAAGATATTCTTCTCCGCGGCGCGGTGCGAACAGAGAAGGTCTACAACCCGGCACAGTACATTTCTGCTGTCCTGAAAAAGACGAAGAAGCACCACCTTGCTCGGACCTACGAGCTGAATGACTGGACCGATGCGACGGACTTTCTTGACCAGTTGTCGAGAAAACGCGGCAGGCTGTTGGCTGGCGGTGATGCCGACGCCGACGGCATGGCGCGCATCGTACTCAATGACTTTTTGCGCGGAAAGATCCCATGGTTCACCCCGCCGCCGGAGCTGAGCCCGGAGGATCAAAAGGCAGCCAGCCAAAAGGGCCGCGTCCGCGACGAGGCAGCCAAGAAGCGGAAGCGCGATGATGCCGACGGTGAGGCTGCGCCAAGCACGACAAAGCTGGCAGAGGAAGAGACTGTGACAGCAGACGGCGATGCAGAGGCGGAGAAGGCCGAGGACGCTGAGGAATTCGGTGGCTTCGGCACCGACAGCGCACCGAGCGATTTCGGCTCCGACGACGAGGACGACCTCATTTCGTTGGGCAGCATCAGCGACGATGAGAGCGACTACGGTGACGCCCCTGAGACGGCGGGAGCCAGCGAGGACGAGGAAGATAAGGAGGACGACGATGACGAGGAGGCAGAGGAGGCAGACGGCGGCGTGACACATTCCAGTGACGAGGAAGAGGCGCCGCCAGAGCCACAGCAGAAGCCCAAGGCGAAGCGGCAAAAGAGATAGCCATGTTAAGCACAATAGAACAAAAAGCACAGCCGGCTGACAAAGATCGCCGGCATGAATTTGATGACCAAAATCCAAGACTGCATGTAAAACAAGTGCAACTACAACTGTGACCTCGAGTTTGCAGCGCCAGAGTCGTGATGCATGTTGCATGATTACGTAACAAGCAAGGCTCTCAGCAAACGCCGCACGAATCCTCGACCCCATATTATGCTGTGCACGTGACTACCGTGGCTAGTGGCCTAGCCCCACTTTCGTCCACAGAGCGCGACGCTGCCTTGGATTTCGATCAAGATTCACGATTTTGACTATTTCTACCCACGACATCACCACCTCTCACCACCAACCCCGCTCACCATCGGTAGGAAACGACACCCTCCGCCAGTATTTTATTTGACGCGCGACCTCCCATCAAATCTTCGTCTCTCTAGCCTCAAATCAACCACAAGCGAATCGACAGGGCGCGGCAGAACTGGCGCGCGACGCCGTACCTTTCCTCTAAATCACCGACCGAGCTCGACGTGACGTGGTCGGTTTATCCAGCCATCTGCCATGATTTAAAGCGGCCCATCATTCTCGTGCGACGTACCACCGGGGGAAGAGACTGACTTGACGCAAACGCACGGCGCACAACGACGGCGCGACCGGAGGAACGCAAGATGCCGGCCGCGGCCGAAACCAGCCGGGGGTTCACCTCGCTGAACGAGGATGACTGGAAACGCACAGCCAACGAAGATGACGAGGCCATTATGAGCCTGCTCAGTGGGAGCCAGCAGGGCACCGAGGGTGGCGGGCTCCCGGCAGACCTGCTGAACATCAAGTTCAGCCAGGAAGGCAAAGCGGACGACGCCGAAGACTTTGAGGACATAAGCGACGACGACCTCCCCGAAGAAGAGGAAACGAGCGGTGCGTCAGCAGAGGTGCCAGGCCTGACAGACGATGCGGGCACGAGCCACGAGACGGACGATTTGTTCGGCGACGACCTGGGCTCGCCCATGCAAGAGGATGGCGACCTGCAGACATCGCCTGGGCCGGACGGAAACGGCGCCAGGCAAGAGCAGACAGACGCGACGGCTGCCGGCGCGAAAGCCAATGCAGACGCCATGGACGACAGCAGAAGCGACCAGGCCGCCGGGCGCTCGCCCTCTCCCTCGGCAAACGACCTCTACACGGTTACCGACAGCGATCGCGCGCTCAACTTCCCCGAAGACTACGGGCACGACACGACAAACCAGGACCCCAACATCCCCCCCGTTGCCGAGAACCTCATGGACCTTGTCAAGATGGCGTTCCCATCCTTTGAAAAGGGCAAGATCCTCGACTTCAACGAGCAGCTGGCGCCGAAGCCGCTGTACCTCACCGAAAAGAAGCCTGCGAAGCCGCCGAAGCCACTGGTTCCCACGAAGCTCAGCCTCGAATTCGAGCCCGACCAGGAGAAGCTGTTCCGTATCCCAGGCACCGCACAAGCTACCATCCAGCAGCGGGTCAACGACGCTACGGCGCGGGGGTTCGTCTCTCTGCTGCAGCCCGAGGCTCAGGACCAGGACAATGGCAACATCTTCCGCGACCCCTTTGGCGACGACGACGACGACGAGAATACCCCTGTTGGTGGCTTCCTTCTTAAGGATTTTGCTATTGCCTGTGCCGATTGGGACGACGTCATCGGTTTGCCGACACCGCCGCCGGACGACAACTCACCCTCCATGGCAGTGACGAAAACGGAGAAGCACAAACGGGCGGCGGACTCGGACGAACAAGACGAGTGGGAGCGCGAGATCCTGGGATCGGCAGGGCCGGTCCAGCCGAAGCGGCGGAAGGTGATTGCCGAGCCTGGCTTGCCTGTGCTACCTCGCTACGTTGCGCCCAGCTTCGATGCCTACCAAGAGGCCACGGCGCGCGCGGCGAAGCGTGTGTACTTGGACATGGCCGACTACCGGCTTTTGCTGGACGACGGAGAGAGCGACCGTGATCCGAAGCGCCAGAAGCTCACAGCACAGAAGCGCCTGCCAAACGGGCGACTGGTGCGCCCCCTTGCGTCGCGCTTCAACTACTCCAACGACCAAGCCTACGAGCAGCTCAAGGAGAACCACCAGCACCGCGTGCGGGCGCAGCACAGCAACATCCAGGTGGAGCACAGTCTGCCAGCGCTGAAGCTGCTGTGGCCGTACTATGCCATCACGCGGTATGGCCCGGAGCCGCACGACTACCACCGGCCGCAGCTCAAGGTCAACAAGGGCATGGGATTCTCTGTGCACATGACGAGGCTGCGCAAGGTGGCCAAACGGGAGTGGAAGCACAAGAAGGTGCAGGAGACGTTTGCGCGGTCCAAGGACCTTTCGCTCGGCGACAACGCGACGGCGGTGCTTTTCGAGTACTGCGAGGAAATCCCGACGGTGCTCTCCAACTTTGGCATGGGCAACAAGATCATCAACTACTACCGCCGCAAGTCCAAGGGCGACGAGGAAAAGCCGGCCAAGCCCGAGCTGGGCGAGCTGTCCTTCCTCCTGCCCGAGGACAAGTCGCCGTTCTCCAACTTTGGCTCCGTCGATCCAGGCGAGATGGTGCCCACGCTGCACAACCCCATGTCGCATGCGCCCATCTTCAAGCACCAGCCACGGTCGACCGACTTCTTGTTCGGCCGCACGCACACCAGCCAGGACGGCACGAACTACTACCTGCGCAAGATTGACCAGCTGTTTGTCGTCGGCCAGACGTTCCCGCTGGCGGAGGTGCCCGGCCCGCATTCTCGCAAAGTCACGGCGCTCAGCAAGAACCGGCTCAAGATGGTGGCGTACCGGATGATTGCGCGCAACGGGTCTGTGTCGCTGTCGGACATTACGGCGCACGTCAAGGACTCCAACGACGCCCAGAACCGGCAGAAGCTCAAGGAATTCTTGCACTACGACAAGGAGACCAAGACGTGGGGGCTCAAGGCCAACGACGCGCCGATGGACCTGGCCACGATCAACAGCATGATCAAGCCGGACGAGGTCTGCCTGCACGATGCGATGCAGGTGGGCCAGAACGAGCTGTCGCAAAACGGCTACCAGCTCGACGACAGTGCGGCTCTGGACGACGTGGACGACGAGAACGACAAGGAGAGCCTGGCCATGAACATGGTGCCGTGGAAGACGACCAAGTCGTTTATCGACGCGTGTGCAGGCAAGGCGATGCTGCAGCTGCACGGCGCGGGCGACCCGACGGGCCGCGGCCTGGGCTTCAGCTTCATCCGGACGTCGATGAAGGGCGGCTTTATGGGGGCCATCCACGGCCCTGCGGCCACCTCCGCCGATGCTATGGAGCGCGAGCGGAAGGCCAACAACGGGCACATGTACAACGTCAAGAAGCAGGAGGCCCTGTACAACGACGCGATCCGCAAGATCTGGGCGTCGCAGCGCGCCACGCTCGAGGACGACACGGCGCACGACGACGAGGACGTGCAGCCGCAAGACGACGAGGACGACCGGTTCAACGCTGCCAAGGAAGCACCGACGCCGGTGGCGGCGGCGGCGGCGGCAGCAGCAGCGGCGGCGGCCCATGTGCATGCAGACGACAGCGTCAGCCAGCTGAGCAAGCCCAGTATGTCGGTTGCGCCCGAGAAGCGAAAGCTGCGCATTGTGCGGACGTACCGCGACCCGAAGACGGGCCAGTCGTACACCAAGACAGAGATTGTGCACGACGCCGGCGTCATTGCACAGTACATGCGGCAGCGGGCGTCCCTCGACATGGAAAAGATTGAGTATGTATTGATGCATTGGAGGTGTTGCACAGTTTGTCCACCGAAAACACGGCTAACCATGCTACAGCCCTTACTCAGTCAAGCCGACGGGCAACCAAGATTACGATCGCGTCCTCATGCAACGGTATGTTTTGGTGCCATGTTGTCCAACGAAATGAGGGGAAAGAGGAAAGAAAAGAAATTGCTGCTAACTCTGTACAGCCTCGAAACCGAAGAGGCACGTCTCAATCGCAACAAGGAGCGCCGGCACGCACGCGAGAAGCAAAAGGCTCTCCAGCAGCAGATCCACGACGGCGACCCAGACTCGCCTGCGCCGTCTGTCGAGCGTGGCGGCACGACGCGAAAGTGCGCCAACTGCGGCCTCCAGGGCCACATCAAGACGAACAAGAAGTACGCCGTCTCCTCCTCCCCTACCCTCTACCTTACGTCCCACAAACTGACCGACGGCACTAGACTCTGTCCAATGCTCAATGGACAATGGAAGACCGACAAGACTGCCGAGGAGGGCGGTTTTGGCGTCTACAATGCGCCAGACGGCCTCTCCGGGCCGGCTTAGAAGCAACGCCTCTTGTGTACGCATTGCACTGGGAAAGCAACGACTCGGTCTGCCAAGTTCTGACTCTTGCGTCCATTGTTTCCATGATCTCTTGCACCCGTATCTTCATATCCCCCGTTTTGTCGTCTTTCTTCCCCCTTTTCAACCCCGCCACCTTATACTAGCCTCGACTAGAATGGTGCTTTCATTGTTTTGCTATATCTTTATAGCGGTTCTGTCTGATATTTTTATTTTCTTGGTTTTTGGTCCCTGGAGCGGTTTCTATCATGGCTAGGACGACAAATATTTGGAAGCAGGGAATTTGGCGTTTGAACGGAGCATACCCTCTCTGATGTCAGAGATTATTTTTACGTCTTTATATTATATAATTTACATTCTTACCACAAAGACTCAGGGTGCCCGCAAGGGAGAGAGTCAGTCCATCAGGGAACAATGAAAGGGTGTCCAATATAGATGCACGGGCACCCTTTGTCTTCAGCGGCAAGGCTGGCGACAAACGAGCCTATTAGATAAAACATGGCAAGGCTGAAAGACTTTGCAGCGAGCTCTCCTGTTGGAATTGAAACGGGTATCTGTTTGCCACCGCCCACGACCCAAGAGAGGCCATATTGAGCGCCCTACCGTGGCACATTTGCTCTTTTCTCGCCCCGCCCCGTCTTTCATCCCTTTGGAGGGTAGCACAGCGGGTTTTATTTCCTTTTTCTG